GAAAATCCCCCAACGGTTAAAGAAAAAAAAAAAAAAAAAAAAAAAAAAAAAAAGAAGAGGTGGGGCCGTGGGGGTCGTATCGTATGTGGTAGGGGTGTTTGTATTTTAAATTCGTTATAATTATTTTAATATTAATTTAATTTGTTTATTTACAAATCTTTGTATGTTTTCAAAAATAATTTTAAATTAGTGATAAATTTTATTAATTTTAATAATTATAGTTATAAATTTTTTTCATGAATTTATAAATATATTGTAAAGTTACCATTAATTTACAATTTTCTCTTTATTTTTTAATCATAACATCGTGTTATTTTTTTATTGAATAAATTACCCTCACTCTTTTTGAGATTTGAAAGAACACGTTTGATATAGGCTCAATTTGGGAACTTAGTTAAAAGTCAAAAGTCAATTTTTAACTTATTTTGAGTCACATTATCACTCTACTTTCTTATGCATTTTTAAAAAAAAAAATCAAAAAAACTAACTTTTAACTAATTTCTCAAAACAACCCATAATAACATTGACTATCGTCAAAATTTAGGCCAGGTTTGTCAAGTCTCAAAAAATTCAAAAAGTCAAAAAGTTACACAAAAAATAAAAGTCATTACTATTCACAAATAAAAAATATTAAAAAAATATTTTATATATTTTTGTAATACAAAAGTTTGAATTACACTGCCAGCCGTACTGCCCCAGCAGGAAGGCAGGTCATGCAATTTTTGGGCAAAAAATAAAAATTACATATGTAAAGTCACAAAGTTTGATGGTAATGTTGGGCCTTTGGGGGCCCACTAAGGGTTCCGTTTTGATAATTTGAACCGTTAATATGTAAAACTCATCGAGTACTATATGCTTGTAAAAAATCACGTTGATCGGATATCGTTAACTATATGATAAAATCAGTTTTGTATAAACAAAACGGATGGTGTGATAGTTAACTGTTGAAAAAAAACTAATCCGATCATATAGCTATCGATATCCGATCAATGTGATTTTTTACAGACATATAATACTCGACGAGTTGTACATATTGAACGGTTCAGATTATTAAAATGGGACTCGTGGTGGCCTTCACGGACCGACCAACACTGTTCAAACACTTTCTCCCGAAAGAGACAATAATTTGTTGTGCAAGACACACTCGCCCAGCAGGGCAGCTGTGCGACCTACTCAACTTTCTTCTCCTACACACTTTATTTATACAATTTTTTATTACACATTTTTTCATAAAAAGACAAAAAATTAACCTAAACATCTATATTTTTTTCCCTTAACTTTTTAATCCAAAAATATAAAAAATGCACTTATTTAGGACACCCCAAACAACCCCTAAATTCACATCACATCTGGGTAATTTTTTATTAGTAATTTATTAGCTGTATGAATAAATAAATTGAGCTGTTATTTCCAATCCACTTTGTTTCAAATATACTATTTTATTTGTCTTTATTATATATAGTTATGTTAATACCTTGAAATTTTAATTTTTTCAATGAGTGTATTTTTCAACATATATATATTTTAACAAATAGATAAGTTAAAATGAGAATTTCAATAGATAGGAAGAGAAAGAAAAGAGAGATGGAAAAATTCAACAGATCAGATGCTAAATTTCAACAATTAACAAAATTTTAAACAGATAAGGGAAAAAATTAAACAAATAGTTAAAAAAATTGAACAGATAGTCAATAAAAAGTCAACAAATAAAAAAGTTATCAGATAAATTAATGGGTAAAATTAGAAATAAAATGTCCTCTAAAACCAACGAAAGGACTTCTCACAAATCTATTTCACAAAGAGTAGACCTCTTACCAATAAAAAATATCCATTGGACCTAATGCCTACCCTTCTTGACTTAAACTTTTCAACAATTTTCTCTATATAAAAATGGAGTGCAAGAGTAACTGTTGCGCATCTTATTGGGCCCATTTTAGGATCCAATTCGATAATTTGAATCATTTAAATTTTAGAAGATATTGAGTAAAACATATTTATAAAAAATCACGCTGATCAAATATTGATAACCTTTTCATTAAATCACATTTGCATTTAATTTTATATTTCAAATTATACATAACATTTATTTTTCATGTACAAATATGATTTGATAAAAGAACTACAGATATTCGATCAATTTAAAAGTTTGTTTTGGGAAGTTGGTAAAAGTTAGTTTTTGGTTTTTTACCAAGCTTTTTGGCTTTTTTAGAAGTGATTTGGGAAGTTAGTAAAAAGGTGACTTTTTGTTTTTTAGTTTAATATTTATTTATGGTGTCAAATTAAATTAAAATGACCAAAATACTCTTACCCAACATAAGAGATTTATTTATTTATTTTTTTCATAGGCCCTAATTTGTAATTTTAGGACTGCGTTTTTGGTACTTTCTAAATGGATTTTGTTGCGTTTTTGGTAGCCACATTTTTGGACATTTTGTTCAAAAACGTGACTTCTTACTATGTTTCTAAAATGACACTTAATATCTTTTAAAATATGAACAATTCAGATTATCAAATTAAGCCCGAAATAAATCCAATAAAATATACAACAGTTGTTGTTACACACAGCGCAATGGCAACCCCAAGCAAGCACCTAGCTTTTGGTATCGTCAAGTATCCACTTGTGTAAGACTTTATGCCTGTGTTTGGCAAGGGTTTTTTCAGGTTTTTTTGACTATTTTAGCCACAAAAAACAAAATAGGCTATTTTAGCCATAACAAACAAAAATTATACATAACATTTATTTTTCATGTACAAATATGATTTGATAAAAGAACTACAGATATTCGATCAATTTAAAAGTTTGTTTTGGGAAGTTGGTAAAAGTTAGTTTTTGATTTTTTACCAAGTTTTTTGACTTTTTTAGAAGTGATTTGGGAAGTTAGTAAAAATGTGACTTTTTGCTTTTTAGTTTAATATTTATTTATGGTGTCAAATCAAATTAAAATGACCAAAATACCCTTACCCAACATAAGAGATTTATTTATTTATTTTTTTCGTAGGCCCTAATTTGTAATTTTAGGGCTGCATTTTTGGTATTTTCCAAATAGATTTTGTTGCGTTTTTTGCAGTCACATTTTTAGACATTTTGTTCAAAAACATGACTTCTTACTATGTTTCTAAAATAACACTTAATATCTTTTAAAATATAAACAATTCAGATTATCAAATTAAGCTCGAAATAAATCCAATAAAATATAAAACAGTTGTTGTTACACACAGCGCAATGGCAACCCCAAGCACCTAGCTTTTGGTATCGTCAAGTATCCACTTGTGTAGGACTTTATGAGTGAGAAAAACTTTTACTACTAAAGTGATACATAACCCTCGTTTAGGAATATATTATTTTAGTAATTTTTTAATTAAAATATGAAATTAAAACAAATATATATTTAAAATAATTTTTTAATTTTTTATAAAAAAATATACAAAAAGTAAAAATAAAAAGGAATATTTGATTTTTTAGTATCGGTTATAGATTTTTTGATTTTTTTAATAATTTTTTGATTTTTACTCTAAAACATGTGTATCACAAACGAGGCCATAATATATAGTAAATATTTTATTTTATTTTTAATTATTTGAATTGCACATATTCTGAATAGGTTTCTGTATTCGGTTGCTTTTACCTTCGGTTTTGAGGTTTTAAAATTAGATTTTATATATTTTTTATTTTTAGTATTTTTCAAAATATTTTAATTAATTATTTATTTTTACTTTTTAGTTGCACTTTACTTAGATACACTTAAAAAATAAAATATTTGGGATATTTTTTTAATTTTTTTTACTAAATACAAAAAAAAAATCAATATATTTTAATATTTTTTTGTATTTATTAATTTTTTTTAAACATTATAAATATTTTACCTTTAAGTGCATCTAAAATTACTAAATATGAAGAAAAAAAATCATTAAAAATAACAAAAATTTAAAATTTAAAAACTCAAAAAAATTGTATTTAAAAATTGGGTAAATTACATTTACCTCCCCTGATGTTTCTGACAAATACAGGGGTCTCCCCTGTGGTTTCAATAATTATAGAAACCTCCCCTACTTTAATTGACAATATCAAGATTCCCCCATTTTTTAACTGTCGTTCATACAACTAACGGAAGTTGGTGATGTCATCAAAAATAAATACTGAAATGCCTATAATGCCCTCCATTGTTTTGGTTTAAATGCATGAACAATAGGTAAAACCAATTTCCAAATATATGAAATCTAGATGTTAAATAAAAAAGAACCTAATAGTGCCATCTCAAATTTGATTTGGCTCTCTCTCTCTCTCCTCTCTTTTTGCCTCAGAGTTTTTTTTCTAAATATTACACATTTTAGCACAAATATATACGTATATATACACATACAATAATAGGAGAAAAAGAAACCAAGAAAGTTAAATCAAAAGCTACTCCGACGGCCACACCGTCTGAGAAAAGTTTGGTTCCAATCCTAGACGAGAAGCTGTAGACGGAGGTCTAGGAAGAGCAGGCGTCGGGGCAGCGAAGGACAACGGCGGCGGGCACCACGTCGCAGTCAACGATGAGAAATCCTCCCACAACCTCAAAAGCATGGAAAAGTGATGCAAATAAATGATTTCATCCAACCAAAGTGATTCATGCACTCAGAAATATGAATCAGAACTTGCAAAGCAAATTAATAAAATCAAAAAGAAAAAAACAAAACAAAAAGTTATAAAGCTCAATAAATTTATAACCTATTATATAGGCTTCAGATCCCATGAAAAGTTTTGCAATATATTTAATTACACATTCAAACAAGCAATCAGAATTTCAAAGTTCAGAGAACTAGAAAAGATATAGCAAAACCCAATTCACAAACACCAAAGATGAACCAAAATATTTTGAAGTTCATATCAGACACTAAACAACTAAACAAAATCTATGTGACAATTAAGAAAGTCCACAAAACAGATCACTATCAATATCTAAACAATAGCCTATCTATGAGGAAATTTAATCTTTATTGGTACAAACGACAGATCTTGTGGAACACTATATTCATCATCACAATGTTTCTGTAGAATCCATACCCTTGAACTTTTACTAAACTCTCTGTTATTGATACAAGACCCACCATCAACTTATGGGTTTGATTTGGATATGTGCGATTTAGAACCATACTCTACAGTGGTTGTTCGATTGCAGAAAAAGAAAAACAAATGTCGATGGTATTCCGGTTGTAGAGTTTGTTTGGAAATGGTGGGTTAGGTTGGGTGTGGTGAGGGTCGTTGGTCGTCGTCGCGAGAGAAGAAAAGAGGTTTGATCTTGTTGTCGATGGTCTCCTTGTCGGAGTCGGAGTAGGAAACCAAGAAAAGAGGCACTGTTGGGTTGTGTTGGGTTGGGTTGGGTTAGGAGGGAAGGAGAGAGAGAGAGAGAGAGAGAGTGGGTTTGATTTCATTTTTAGGAAGATAGAGAAGGAAGATCTCGTCGTCAATGGTCTCCTTGTTGGAATCAGAGTCAGATACCAAGAAAATAGGCACTGTTGGGTTAGGTTGGGAGAGAAGGAGAGAGAGAAGATAGTGAGAGAAGAAAGAAACAGAAGTTAATGGGTGGTGACTCTAGTTTCAAAAAGTAAAAAGGGATATTGTGTAGGGTATTTTCGTCTTTTCACACTTAATTTAAAGGGTAAAATGGTCATTCTGTATAGGTAAGTAACGTCGTTTGTGCAAAATTGACGGATTGGGGGAATCTTGATATTGTCAGTTAAAGTAGGGGAGGTTTCTGTAATTATTGAAACCACAGGGGAGGTCTCTGTATTTGTCAGAAACCTCAGGGGAGGTAAATGTAATTTACCCTTAAAAATTTAAAACCAAAGATAGAAGTCATAACTATCTACTTTAAACAACATTACTATTATCCTTTGGAATAAGTAATTATTTGGTAGTTTTGAAATATTATTCCACATCATTTATTACTTGAAATTTGTCAACTCATGTAATAGAGTTATGCTAGAGATTCCAAATAAATTATCAAATTCTCTACCAAACCTCTCACATAAGTGTAGTTTCACATGGGTGTAGGACATGTGAGTCTTACACCCATGCGAGAGGTTTGTTAGAAAATTTGATAATGTACTTGGAATTTATAGCATTTTCCTATGTAACACCCCCAAAATATAGAAACCTAAACCCACAGTTATATCCAATAATCATCATACAATCTCTCATTAATCATGTGGAAGGCTATAATTAATCTCAAATCATTATGTAGTTAATATATGCTAAATCCTGTATTCCATACATAAATATCTTTTTGCGTATTACAAAATACATTCACATGCATTAATACAATTATTGATCCTAAAACATGAATATATAGCATTTGATCGATGAGAATCAACATCTAAACTAATACAAGTTCATGTCTTAATGGTTACAAGTTTTCAAGACTTTATTGAGTTATAACAAAAGTGGGTTGGTTATAAACTCAATACATCAAAGCCCTTAACTATACAAAAAACATTAAACAAAATGAGTTTTAAGCTCCATGATCCTTCCAATTCAACACCTTGGTGGAGGTATGCCGTCAACACTTGAAAAGTTATTTCCATACAGGGATAAACATAAAATCCAACAGAGATAATTTTAATAATATAAATGATGATTAACGATATCATATGATGAATGCATATGAAATGTCATGCCAAAATGTAAGTTTTTACATTTTGAGATTCAATGTCATGCACGAGTTCCAAAATCATAGTTCAAACGCTTTACTTTTCAATAGAAAATAGGGTAGTAAATACGATTTTGGAAATATCTAGGCTGGTGTTTACAAGTAGTTTTATAAAGCACTACCAATTCATTTTACCGGCTCTTAACTAGAAGGAACCTACTCCGCTCGTGTTTTTAGAATTTCACCATGAACCTAAAGCCAAATTAACCTCATCTACGCTCCTTAACTGGATTTACCACGGTATTTACTCTTTTTCTTAAAAATATTGCAAATATTCTCAAACACAAATATTTTCAATGAGGTTCTCAAAATACGAAATAATGGAAGATCCCTGAATTCATGATGTGTTCAATTCAATGCATGATTTTTAAACATTTCAATTTACCTAGTTCACATGTAATTTTTACAACATGGCAATGCTATTCTTCATCAATAACCAAATTAGTTATCTCTAATTTGATAATTAAAATAGACAACAATAGTTCATTATCAACATATTCACGAACTTTCCGAAATCAATATGATTTTCCAAAAATCTCAACATTTCAAATGTACTCCACAATCATCACTCAAGAGTAATATGAATATCCTCACTTCAATTCCATAAAAATCTCTACACTAGGTTTTTATGAAAAATTTGGGAGTTTCCTCTCAATTCACAATTTTATTCAAATTTCAAGTCACAAAATCATTAGAATGTTAATTTGACTATTAAACAAAACTCAAGAGTTTCTCCCAATTTATGCATTATTACATACATAATTAAAATCCTAGTTTCCTCAAAATCTCTAGCTATCAAGAATATCATATAACAACGTAAAATAACATGCGCATCGTTAAGAAAATTCCTACCTCAAAGACTAGAAGAAAATGAAAGAACACTCAAATTTCGGCAGCGACGAAAACATTGCCCTTAATCGCATGGGCAAACTCCACTTTGCGGGCACGAGTGACACAACCGCGAGCTCGATCAACTGGTTGTGGACATGATCAAGCTATTCAGGGGCACTCATTTTTCACAGAGGAAAGTAGTAGATGGTGTTTTTGATCGTGGCTTGGTCGCAACCTATCACGAGTGCGATAATGATGGTTGCTGGTGTGACCACACCAAAAGGGTGTGCTGAGCCAAGTGTTCTAGGGACAAAAGTAAGGCCCACCAGTGTACAATTCAACCTAAAACGAAAGGAATATAATCTAGGAGTACTTACATGTAAGTCCTAATTAGTGGATTTATTGTCTAATAGGTCTTATAGAAAAAATTTGTCATAAAAAAGTCACTAATTATAAGTTTTAGTGGCAATTGATAAAAATCATGATAAAAAAGTCATTAATTGTCAATTTTTAGTGACATATATAAAAAATTATCATAAAAAAAATATTTTGAGCGACAATTTTACTAAGACTTATTTTCAATAGAACTTGATGAGAATTAAATCTAATTATTAGGATCTATTAATAATTTACTGAGTGAAATTATAAAAAAAGAAAAAAAAGTCAGGTCTTGACCCGAACCATTACAACATGTGCTTCAAAATTATAATAAAAAAATCTTAAATCTCACAATTTTAATAAATAAATATAAAATTAAGGCATGTGAATTTGTGTAATCTTTCCCTTGGAATTTTGCAGTAAGTTTGGACTGGCACCTCATGATCACTGATGGAAGGTCTGTCTAACCCCACTTGTCATGCATATGAATCAATGAAAATGATGTGTTTCAATTCTTAGTAGTATTTATCTTCGCCTTTTTGGCTATCATAATGATTATTTTGCCAATTTTAAATGAGGTTATGGTGTTGTCAACCATACCCCTCGTTTGGTTTAAACGCTCCGTTTGAGATACGAGTTTATTGGCTATTTTATTTATTAAAATAAAATAGTTAATAAAATAAAATATTATATTCAAATTATTATTATTTTATTTTTTTACAATTATTAATTTCATTATAAAAAAATTTAAAAATTATATTAGACATAACTATTTTAGTCAGATTAAAATAATTAAATAATCAAAAAGTCAGGATAAAAAAATCCTTCCAAACGAGTTCTATTGTAGCTTTTTTTATAGATAAATTATAAATATATCTTTTGAGTTGCTTAAAATATGAATTACATTTTATAATTATGAAAATTACTTCTCACTCTTTAAAATTTTTAATTTAATAACAGATAGTCCTTTCTGTAATTCTTTCAGATTTGCTTAAAATATGAATTGTCCTTTGTGATTTTGAAAATATATTCTTATCGGAATTTTTCATTTAACAAAATTCCGAAAAACAAAAATACAAGTTCAAACTAATCTCTTATAAAATAATAAAATTATTAATTGAAATATATTTTTAACATCATTAAAAATTATTAATTAACTTAATGATTTATTAATAAATAGATTCATTTATTATGCAATTAAAAATTTGAAATGCAAAATGTAATTTTCAAAATTATGTGAACCAATCTTTATTTTAAGTGAATCTCAGGAGATTTATTTGTAATTTATATAAATGTAATAGAGGTGGACATACACAAATATGTACGTGTAAACTTTAAAATTAATAGTTATTTAAAAATAATAATAATATCTGAATAACTATGATAATTATTTTAAACAAATGTATCTAACAGAATTAAAACAGATCAATTATCGAGAGAAATTTTGAAAAAGTTTAAAAAATTGACATTCTACCCTAATACAAGTATAAATTTTAACATAAATTAAACTTTGCTCCTTTATGTATGATTAATTTTTTTTTTTTATTTTGACTCTTGAATATATTTTGGCCGTCGGTATTTAAAATTTTTCTCATTTTATCTTAAAGACAATTTCTATTCAAAATTAAATAGAAAATGTCACATTAACTTCCACATAATATATAAAAAAATTATTATTTTGGGATTTTGGTTTGTGTCAAATGTGTGAGTTATATTTAATAAAATATTTTTATGTCACGTGACTGTTAATGCGTCATTTTCTATCTAATTTTTTTATGTTAGCTAATTTTTAGAATAAATTGAAAAAAACTTAAAATATAAAAAGTTAAAGTGAAAAAAAAAAAGAATCAAAGTAAAAAATAATCAAACATAAAGCTGAGTAAAGTATAATTTACCTTAAATTTTATATAATAGTATTTTATAGAATTAGGCAAATGAGCATGTCTAATTGGTGAAATTTTCTCTCTCTCTCTCTCTCTCCAAGCTTAGTGCCTTTCTCTCCACTCTTTCATCTTTTAGGTCATTTGGTGTGCCGCCTAGAATAGGTGAGGGGCAGTGGTGATCAGGACCTCTAATAGTAAAGCTCTAATAAGAGCTCCACTAATGGGACAATTTTAAAAGAAAAAAAAAAAATAAAATAAAACAAAATAAAGTAAAGGTTAAAACATCAAATTACACAGTAAGACTCACAATTTAAAGTTTTCCTAGAGCTCACAATTTAAAGCTCTAAAACATTTTTCAGGGAAAGGGTTCCGACCTTCTCTCTTCTCCTTCTACTGCCTTTTACTTTTTTATTTTTCTTTACTTTTCTACCTAATTAAGTTCGAAAATTTTGTCTTTCAAACCTTCTCCCTCAGTGTAAGGTGTTCCTTCACTGAATCTTCCTTCACCTTTTTTCTCCGCTTCACTCTGGTATTGTCATCACTACATTCCTATCAAGCCTGCCACCTTTCTTGCCTATACGGCCCTACCCTTACCAAATCCGCTTGCACCCCTTCTCTACTTCTACATCTCCACCAGATCTATCCTCGGCCGTTGATTTCATCACCGCCTTTCCACTTTCTAACTTTGCGACTGAGAGTTTTTTCTTGCTTTTCCCTTCTTTTTTTTTTGATTTTTTGGTATTTTGGTGTTTGGATGTGTGGCTTGGTCTCCATCAATGGTGTGAATGTTGCGTACCCTCTCTGTGGATATAGCCTATATATTTATCTCAGACTTATCTTATTGTCAAACTCTTATGATTGACATTTGCTTCACAGTATGGGTTTTGCACTCTTATGATTGACGTTTGCTTCATAGTATGGGTTTTGCGTTTTGATATATTCATAATTTCTCCTTAGTGCTTTCTTTTGTGGATTATTACTTTGTTTGGTGCAATCTTTATTTTGTTGGAATTGATTCCTTTGTAAATACTATTTCACTTTCCTTACTTTAATGGAAATTTCAAGGATAATTACATATTTTGAGATTTAATTAAAATACGAATATCTCCTGTGATTCTGGAAGTTACATCTCACTCCCTTGAAGTTTCTAATTTCATAACAAATGTCCTCTTTTATTAATAAATCATTAAGTAAATTAACAATTTTTATGTTAGGAATTTATTTAAATTAATAATTTAGGTATTTTTATTATTATATAGAAAAGTAGTTAACAATTTTATTTTTTTAATTAATTCTGTTAAATAAAAAATTCTGAAAGGAAATATTTGTAATTTTCTAAATTATAAAAAATAATTCATATTTTAAACAAATCTAAAAAATATATTTGTAATTTATTTAAACTTCAATTGATAAAATTAAAAAAAAAAAAAAAAGAGGCTACGAATCACTGTCGTAAAAATTTAAATAATGTTAAAAAAATTAAAATTTTGCACATTTGTAAGCATAATATTTTTTGATACAACCAATAATATTTTGGTTAACGATTTTTTCTTTAAATATGAAAAAAAAAAAAAAGAAACAAAAAAACAAAAAAAAACACAAACATCACATTATTGTGAACAGTAATGTTAGGTATCATGAAAAGTTTTTCATGAAAATGGTCATGAAAGATTTGTGACCTTTGGATTACACTTACAATAAAACACCACACTGTAATCAAAGTAATCTAAGGGTCACAAATTTTTCATGATCCTTTTCATAATAAAATTTTCATGATCTCTAACATTTCTCTTATTGTGAACCCACGCACCATTACAAAACACACCTATCATTGGGGGTGTTGAGCGGGACCACACGATTACAAAACACACCCATCATTGGGCTGCTTCCGCCACATTATTGTAGCCATAGTTGAGTGCAGTGATCCCCTGAGTTTGCTCCTCTATAAGGTCACATTTTGGTATGGGAAATTCTACTACGATTCATACAACTAAATTTTTATTTTTATTTAAAGCACTAATACATTGAGAATGTCAAAAAAATAAAAAAAAACAAAAAACAAACAAACAAACAAACAAACAGTGGACAGGACTCACTGTCACATCATTAGTGATACTATTAAAGTATCACTTTTAGTGCTATCAAAAAATTTTCTTCTACCATACATATACATATCTATATAGGGCTTGGCTTTGGTCCAGTCCATCATTGGATATGGACTGGACCGTGCTGTTGGGCCCGTGGGGGTCTACCACGGGTTCTATTTTGAAAATTTGAACCGTTAATGTGTAGAACTCGTCGAGTACTATATGTCTGTGAAAAATCACGTTGATCGGATATCGATAGCTATGTGATCAAATCAGTTTTGTATAAAAAAATGGACGGTTAATAAATTAACGGTTGATAAAAAACTGATTTGATCTCATAGCTATCGATATCCGATCAACGTGATTTTTCACAGGCATATAGTACTCGACGAGTTCTACACATTAAACGGTTCAGATTTTCAAAACGGGACCCGTGGTGGATCCCCACGGGCCCAACAGTACAGTCCAGTCCAATGGCGGACTGGACCAAAGCCAGACCCATCTATATAAATGTATAATAAAGCAGGACTTTTGAATTTGTCCTACACACATTTATCTTACTAGGACATTTGGACGGTTCAGATCTATTCAAACTATAAAACAACGACTGTGATGTATCCTACTTTCTCGCTTCTCTCTTACTTTTTCCTTTTCTCACCTACTCTTCGATAGGGCTGAGCAAGAAATCCGTGAAATCCGTAATCCGATCCAGTCCAGTCCAATCCGATAGGTTTGGATTGGTTTTTTGAATCCGTGGTTCGGTTTCGGATTGAAAAATTAAAAAATCGACGTTGATCGGATATCGATAGCTATGTGATCAAATCAGTTTTGTATAAAAAAATGGACGGTGAATAAATTAACGATTGATAAAAAACTGATTTGATCGCATAGCTAT